CAAGCCATATTTACGGAACAACCTGATTTCCCAAATCTGTTCAAAGTAGTGTCACTTTTGCTGTCCGTTCCGGCCACTTCAGCATTTACAGAAAGAGTATTCTCTGTTATGAACGCAAAGTGGCGGGACGACAGGAATAAAGCTTCATTAAAACTAATTAAAAATCAACTCTTAGTTTACTTAAATCTTTGTTTGCCATGTTTAGAGGCTATTAATGTATTTAAGAGCGAGAGCAATTTGTTACTAGCTGCTAGATGTAACAAAAAATGTGTTTAAAAATAAAAAATAAAATACCTACTTTATTTTTATGCTGAGTACTTTTTTTCAACCATTTAGTCGAGAAATACTTTATGTAAAGCCTGAAAAGGTGACAACCCTAATTGTAGTCGGTGGTGACTCATAAGTGTATTAGTAACACGTTCGAAAAGAAAACAGATCTTACCTTGATTCCTGCGGGAATTCCTCCTTAACGTGCTGGTTTCGAATTCAAGTGACTAAGGACTAGATAAAACTGAAATGGAAAAAAGGAAAAGAAGTTACTATTTTGAAGCGTCAGATTACTTCAACAAATCATTGGCCTAAAGCAGGCCACAACATTGTGGCATTGAAAGTGAAATGGTTGGGCTAACCCTTAAAACCTTTTCCATAGAGTATAAAATCCTCAGGTGGTTTCTAAGGAACTTTGACGTCAGTTTAAAAGGTCACCCATGACCTTACAATCAAATGCTAACAAGTTTTGGCAAATTGCACCGAACTACGTATTTCTTGTGCGTGTGTGCCTGCTGTTTGGTTGCTGGCTATAATATCTGGGAAGTACACGTTAGTTACATACACATACGTGTACGAACGGAGAATCGTGCAGCGCCGCGTCGCGTCGGGTTTGCGGCAACACGCGAAATTAAATTAAACGAAAACCGTCTTCGGGTTGACATGTTTTGTAACTATTAGAGATTTAAGGTCGAGTATCGCGGGTTTGCGGGTTGCCGCGACGCTTATAGAGATCCTTACGTGTATTGCCCCTTCATGGAAATAACTGTCATCTATTTTGCAGATAAGATCGTAATTGAATCGCTTGACGGCAGATTTGCACACGGACCACTGCATGGAACGAAACGGGAGCCACTATTATTTGGAATACACACACACACAACACACATATACACACTTACACCCTCACATATACCCATGTACCTACACAGCAGTAGTCTCGGCGACTACGTGAGGGCGGTTTGGCCGCTTTTATTATTATTCGCGCATAAAGTGAATTTTATCTCCGACGGTCGACTTCGTTCGACCACGTGAAGAATGGACTCGAAACGTCCGTATGTCAACTGAACACAATTGCGACGCGAAACGGCACGACAGCGCTTACCGCCGTGCGATTGTTTCAATTTCACTCTTTTTGTAAAAGAAGATAACGCCAGTCTCTCTCCCCCTTCTGTCACTTTCGCGGCTTTTGAACGTAACCAAAATTTAAACAAAGCTTAACACTTTCATTTCCATAATAAGACAAACGCAAAATTTTACGATAATTACATAAAATTAAGGGCAGTGGTTTGTCCAAAAAAACTATGCAACTTCGGAAAAATCTTCTAGATAAATGTTTCCTGACAAATTGTTACGAACGAATGCCGCAGGCGATCGATACGTACGACACCATTGTTGTGCGTTCAAAAATTAACATCCGCCGATCATGTAAATGAACTGTGAGGTTAAGATATACTTATGGGCGAAAAATAGTATGTTGTTGTACAATTGGATCCTCTCAATAATGTTACTCTACCATTTTCGGACTGTACAAGAGACTATGTCGCGCATTAGTGAATTAATTATTTGAATAAACTACAGATAACCTCAAATAAATGAGGAAAAATTGATGCTGCTGTAAAGTTGATTAAAAAAATGAATTAACTAATGCACTGAAGTGTCTCAGACGGTGTTGTGTAGTCCATATTTTACACTAACCTCATTTCTCTTCTTATGAGTTTTCTTGCTGGGGTTTTCCTTATGTACCAAAATAAAATAAACGTTCTCCAAATGACCAAATGGTTTTTCTTTTTCTACAATTTTAACAAAAATTTATCTCATTAAATCATTTCGTTTTCATTTGATTTTGGTATTCTGTGTATCATAAATTATAAATGATCGTTTCCGAAAAATCCCGTGCGCTATAGGAAAATGAAATTCGCGAGGCGTTTGCAAAAACGACTTGCAGTAAAAAAAGGTTATCAATTTTCATGAGTTTATTTGGATACAGATCGTGTGTCCCGTCCAGGAGTAAGAAGAGAAGAAAAAGCGACTGGATGAGTAAACCTTTTTGAATTTCTTATGTGGATATTTGTGAGGCTCTTTCAATGGCCAGAAGGAGCTCCCGTATAGCCCGCTGATCCGACGATACTCCTTGAATATTTATCAGAAAAGGAAGCCCGACAAAATATAGCCGAATACTGACGTTGCATTCTTACAGTGAACTTGAGCGATTTTGAATGTCGTTTTGATGACCATCTTTATACAGTATACATGACACAAATCTCAGCATATTACCAATTTCTTCTTTCTACCATACGTATACAAACAAAAATATAAAAAAAGTTCTTCATCAACTGACCAATGCTTAAAATTCTTTATTGTTAACGCATCACGAAACTTATTAACATCCTATCTGATATGAATAGGATAGAATAAACTCACCCTAGTTATCGCAGAGAACAAGCTTCTTGTGGTGTCTAGGGTTTTTGGTTTATCTGTTTCTTTAGGCGTTACAGTCTCAATTTCCCACATTAGATTTAAAGATTCCAAAGGGAAAACCAAAATATTTTTTCAAACTTTAAAGAATGTTATTTCGTCTGTAATAATTCTAAAACTATTAATGGTTTAGGAAGAAGTTATTCTTCTAAAATAATCTTGGAACTACAGTGGCCTATAGCAATAAAAAATATAAACAATGTCAAGGAATGTATTGTAATTTTATTAGCAATAAGATTAGATCGATTTTGAGCTATGTACCAAGGATGGCCTACATACGAATCTTCCTATGACTAACTAATTATTATAGTAAAACAACGGCATTCAAGCCTAGAAGCGAACTATATAAATATAAACAAGCGGAATTTCACTTGTTCGTTGCAATTGTTCTAAAATTCTTCAAGTCAGTTATTACGTCTTTAAACTGCCGTGGAATTTTGTAACAAGTGAGGTAATAATAAATGTACATCGCATACACGCGATCGCCGAACCACTCAACGTCGGTTAAGTTCCGCAATGGCTAAATGCGTCCATTCTTACTAGCGGGCTGTAGTTGCACGGCGTTGCTTTCGTTAAGCGAACGTAAAGTCGGTGTAAGGGTTCCGCTAGCGATCAGATAAACCTGTGAAATCGGCGCATAACAACGCGGTTTACCCTATTACGGGCAAAAACGACACGATGCTGCCTGGGAGCTTGTTTCACCCTCGCGCGCCTTCTCTTCTGACACCACGAACGTCGGACGAGACGCCGATGCCGTTGACGTTGTTGCCGATTACTTGGCCTCGAAGTACGTAACATATATATCTATGTATGTATAGGCACACGCGTGTAGGGACGGTCGGGATTTCCCCGACTCGGAATAAATGCATTTTAGATAAATCGGTCCGATAAAATATGAACTTTAGTTTCATATTAATGCGAGTGAAGAATGATACATGGAAGGACGAGGTGCAATGTAGGGGTAAGCTTTTACTAGAATGGTTCCTAAACAGTGGCGGCTCGTGCCTTTCAAAAATTGTTGAGCAGTTGCAAAAACCCACGCCGACACTAAAAATATTACCACTATTGGGCCACTCCATACCCTTCAATGAGTACGAGAGAGTAAGCAGTAATGACCCATATTGCTTTCTCTTTTTCGTCTCCCATCCACTCCTATATTAAGCCCCTTGATCCTGTAGACAAGCGAAGTCTCTCTAGCAACTTAAATAATACCTACGAAAATTTTCTAATGATCGTCCCGCAGCTCAGGGGTAGCATGCCGGACTACGTTCGCAATACTATTGGGTTCGGCTATGGAAGAGGGGACTCACCTACGAAATGGAAGGGATAATAAAAGGAAAGAATCATCTCACTCGCACTCGCAGGAGCAATGAGGAGCTCCTTGGCTATACCTGAGGGGCACTCGGGAGTCAAAAGAGCCGAGTTTGCCCGACTGTGGTCTATTCCAGAGTCGGGCAAACTTTAACTTCGCAGGAACTGCTACATGAGGTTAGTTTGAGTCACTCCATACCCTTCAATGAGTACGAGAGAGTAAGCAGAAATGAATAATTTTGTTTTGTCTTTTTCTTCTCCCTTCCACTCCCATATCAAGCCACTTCATCCCGTAGACGAGCGAAGCCACTCTCGCAACTTAAATAATACCTACGAAAATTTTCGTTACTACGTTCGCAAAACTATTGGGTTTGGCTATGGAAGAGGGGACTCACCTACGAAATGGAAGGGATAATAAAAGGAAAGAATCATCTCACTCGCACTCGCAGGAGCAATGAGGAGCTCCGTGGCTATAACTGAGGAGCACTCGGGAATCAAAAGAGCCGAGTTTGCCCGACTGTGGTCTATCCGACAAGAAGCGGCCTCCATGCCCGCTCGCGCCGAGGGAAATTTAAAAGTATAAGCTTGTTTATTTGTAAGGACTTATCACTTATAACACAAAGCTATTTTTGGTATTCGTTCTTCACTAAGAAGCATACGTCTGGCGGCCAGTTTTAAACCAAAATTATTGCACTACCACTCCGGGGAAGGAAGCGGTGAAAGAAAACTGAAGAAATACTAAAAGCAAAGACATACTATGTATCAAGTTTAGCAATGTTCATAAATTTCGTCGGTAATACCGTACGGATGTGTGGATAATTAGTAGGTAGGTATAACACACGTATTTCGTGTTTGGAAAATGGAATGAAGTGAAGCCATTAATTGTCGTCGACCAACTTGGCCGTGGGTAAAACGCCGGTAACATTGGAGACCAAACGACGCGCTGCGCCGGGTTCGCCTGGCCTGCCGGCCACTTGCTATCTGTATCATGCAAACGGCCAGCTCTAATGGAATAGCAATGAAATTAGCAAAATAATGTCCTTAGTTAAATTGCTTGCACTGGTCAGCCGGCAAATTAGTTTTAAGTCGCCGACCACCGACTATGTTCCTGATCCACAGCCGAAACTGTCGTTATGGATTTAACCAAAAAGCACATTCACACACAACGTCCGGTCATCCACTTTTTATAAAATGGAACATTATAAGAAAACATTGCTACCTTAATTACGTTAGCTAATAAATCAAATTTTTGCCTTAAATCTCAAGTTCCTCATTTCAATTGATCTCAATTTCCGAGGAGGTGCTCAAGTCGCTTATCCTCCCCTCCCACTTTCCTACCCCATAGAATACCTAGTAGCCATAATTATTATTTTAAATGGTAAAATAAAAGAGAAAACGTCATATAGATGTGGATGAGAAATTAAGCACCTCTTATTAGAAGTTTGACAATTAATCTCAAGACAATTTTGAAAATGCGTTTTAGAAAATACTACAAATGGCGCAGTAAACGCCATCTGTAGCACAATGCTACATTTTAGGATTACGTATGCTCCAACAAGGTCCACTTGAGTGGATATCTACTTGCTGAAAACGAATCCCGGCGTAGCCAACCCCAACGTGATAGGCACGTTAGCTTACTCGAATAAAATAACTCGAATAATACGCCGGGATTCGTTTTTCAGCAAGTAGATATCCACACAAGTGGACCTGGTTGGAGCATACGTAATCCTAAAATGTAGCATCGTACTACAGATGGCGTTTACTGCGCCATTTGTAGTATTTTCTAAAACGCACTGTTAAGACAGCAGGTAAAAGTTGGTCTGTGTTCTGTCGGAGCTACCTGCGACGAGCTGATGAGATCCAAAAAGATCGAAATCGCGATCCGCGTCTGGCAGTTTCGACAGAANTAGCAAGGAGATCGGGCTGAAACTATAGCTACAAGCTATCCAAGGATGGTACTATAGAATGTCACCTCAAGGTAGGCCTAGTGGCGTCATCTCTTGGTTAGGCCGGAAACTTATCAATCCACCCTCGTATATTACACGACAGAACGGAATGCGTAGCAAACTCAAACTCCAAAACTCACTACTCATACATAAAGCATTTTTCCTGACTTAGAAAGTCAATGGGTTAACCTGTTGGCTCTGACTTGATTTTTGTCCCCCTTATTCAATTACCTTCGTGTATGAAACTTCTTTTGACAAGTCAGAAATAAACTTGGAACTCCTCTTTGAAACAAAGTTCATGATTGGTTTATTCCCATTTGGACAACACAAATTAGTAAAAATTGTAGCATGAAGAAGATGACGTGAAGTTTAATTCTCCGATATCGAATGATTCAACTGCCTCTACTACAAGTTTCACTTCTGTTTTGTACTACCGTTGTCAGTTACGAACATCTCATATTTCTATAACGATCTCATCTACATTTTCAAGGTACGCTTGCAGTTTGAGATTGGCTGGTCCGTTCATGGAATATCCACCATGGAAGTCCCTTCAACCACTTGCAGAAGCGGCCAAATTAGCTGTAAATACAAAGCCTATCACTGATCCCACAGGACCGGATGCGAACGAATTTTTGGCTGGACAACCAATACCAGAAGAGGGAGCCTTTTGCTACATAGCTATTACTGGAGAATTAGTAGCTTCCAGTTTTGGAAAATAGTGAACATTTACCAAAAGTTTTTTCAATGTATTAATTATCAAGGATTGTGAACGGAAAATTTAAAAATAGTAACCTTAGAAATATTATTATGCTTTTTATTGAAGAGCATCATTTCAAAAATGTACCTGATCTTGAAACGGACTTGGAGATAGATACCAATTAAGATCACGGTAGATGTCACCACAGTGTGCTCCTTTTTACGCTCAATGGCCTGAGCGATTGAATATCGTGTCATGGAGAAGTTTTGTTTAAAAATATATATAGAATATCATGCTCTACGTAAGTTTTCAGGTTAGAAATACAGATAGATTCTCAAAAATTTGTCATCATTTTCTAGAGGTTCTTAAGTCTTAATCCTTACCGAAATATGAAGACTGGAAAAACTCTGGCGCTTGTTGTAGAACAAGCAAAATAGCTCAAACCCCAACGCCAAAACAGAACACTTTAGATATCCGAAGCACTTTTCGGTAACAAGATTACCTTCTTCAGGGGCTGAAGTGAACTTCAGTGCTTCGGCCATCTAATGTATCGTGTTTTGGCGTTGGGGTTTGAGCTATTTTGTTTGTTTTAATCCTTACCATTCTTATTTTATAAGTTATAAGATTGTTCTTAAGTAAGTAGCTATTGACGGAGCATTGCACGGAGCGATCGACCGAATCTGTGTGTGTTATATGATGAAATGATTTAGAAAAATTAGTGCGAAACAAGGACGAGTGGTTAGTTTTCTGAATCGTCATATATCTAATTAGGAATATTTAAATGCTGATTGGAGCCAGAAAACTTTAGGGCTGGTGAAAGGTACTTAAACTTTTAGAAACTTTACAATATGTTTCCACATAAGTATAAACATCCCCTTTTTCGTTCCGTTTTCTGCACGTGAAGTGTTTCATGATCCTCAACCCCGTCAGCGTTCTCGAAGAACTTGCGAAGTTCAGTCAAAATTCCCTCTCCACCACGCGAACTTATACAGTTAATTAGCATACCGTAGTTGTACTAAATTAGGACCGTATTAATAAATGCTTAAATAATCTGGGAAACTGTCAGGTGTTATCCCAAGTTTCGTCACATCTCCTTCGAATTATCGCGGAACATACCCAGGCTTCCATATTTCGCTCGCACAACGCTAACCGGCGAATTTGCATAAGACAGTTTAACAATATGCAGTCTTTAAATAAGTATTATTTTCCGACTTATCGAGACGGAAGGGTTCTCTGACGCCTGACGACTATTAATTTTAGCATTACAAAGACTAAAACTTTCCCTTTTAGTTTTGCATATTTAATGGAGATCAAAAGTTTTCTGAAATTAGGAGAAGTCGCTCCAAAATTTCCTTGCATGGAATTGCGAAATCGAATTGCTCAATAATCATCAGAAACAGTGGAAAACAAAATGTATATAAGACACTTTGAATTTTTGTAGAGTTAATTCAATTCATTGGTGAATTAATTTCACCCACTATAGATAACCTCAACTTTAACCTAACCTAACCTCAACTTTAATGAGGAAAAATTGTTGCTACTGACACTCCCTTGCCGGGAATTGAACCCGAATACAATCATTGCTTGTCTGCCACACGGGCGGTCCATGTTCGATTACTAGCAGATGCTATGCCTTTTATCTTTTATTTTACGAGTAAAATAAAGTACAATAGTTGATCGAATTTCGATCACGGGCGGTACTATTTTAAATATTACTTTTCAATTCGATAAAATATTTTTAGAGGACTTTATAATTTAAAAAAAAATCTGGTCAATGTTGTGTTTTGTTGTAGCCATTGAACAGAAGGTTGACTAAACGTTTTTGTCGAGTTTCTGGCAACATAAAAGGTAAAAGACTGTCAAACCGTGGGCTAAAATATTCAATAAGACACGATAATTTACTTTAGGTTACTCCGGAAGAACTTATTTTCCAAATGATTTGAAAGCGTTCCTGTGTTGTGATGCCTGAATCTGATGGTCACTTATATCACACACACTCACATATGTACGCTTATATACAAGGTGGATTATAAGCAGCTGATATTTTTATAGAACAAAATGACAAACGCAAAATTAAATTTTCTACGATTTACTATTGAACTTTAAAGCCCAGTAGTAAAATCAAGTTACATTATTCTAGTAGTTACTTTTGTTAAGTCCACTATCTACAACAACAACATCAACATCATTGTAATCTTTAATTCTAAAGGTTTCAGTTTATACTTCAATATAAACTATTCAGTGGTTAAAATGATCAATATACAAAGATTTAGACCAAGATCATGATAGTCTTGATATTGACTTTGTTCTTCCGCATTGAGTATTGCTCCTCGATTTGTCAATGCAGATAGAATCTTGGTATCGATCTTTCAATAATTGTAGGAGTAACTTGTCCTTAGCTTTCATGTTACTAAAGGTGCAAGTAGAAGATCATCATCACCATAAGGTCGTCAGTCCTAAGACTGGTTGAACACGCACCTCCACTCCTTCCTATTCTAAGCTAATCTTCGCATTTTTCTAAAGCTAGAACATCCCACATCCTAAACTATTATATACGGTAATCTAATCTAGGTCTACCTCTATCCCTCCTAACTCCCGTTTCTGCCTGTAATATATCTCTGACTAGACCTTCATGCTTGAGATGATGTCCTACTAACCTATCTCGCCTATTTCTTATTCACTTCCATGGAGTCCTCTGCTCTCCCACTCTTTATAATACCTCTCAATTTCTAAACTACAGGATTCCTTTTTAAGAAACAAAAACTATCAAATGTGACTTTAAAAACTAAATTAACCTATACTGCATTATANAACAACAAGACATGTATGTTGGATTATTGTCTATAGTCTTAATGGACGATGGTATCGTCGGAATACATGGGTGGTGGTTGGGGAGAGACAAACGGGATGGACGAAATGAAGAAAAGTAAAAGATGACTTAATTATTATGAAATTTTTTACTATTATGAAGTTTTTTCCGCATTACCATAACAACATATACATGATTAAGATTGAATTTTGACAATACAATTTTTTTTCATGTCAGGTAGAAAATAAATCTAAATTTTTGAAAAATGGAAGGATTTGATGCTACATGTCCTGCTGTACCTCCACATAGGTATATATTTACATCAAAAAATTTTAACCGTTTTATATAAAAATGTAATTATGAGTGCAATGATTTATTTCAATAAAATTTTCGGTGTAGTGCATTGGGCAAACCCGACAGTTTAAACTCAGAATTCCTGTACTACAGTTCTATACTCAAAGTCCTCGCACCAGCTATGTCAGAAGAATATCAGCGACAACAGATAGTGCCGTGGATAAAGAAACTTTTTAGACCTGAATATCATAGTTCCAAATTTCGAGAAAAAAGAAACAGGTAATACAGTTGGAATACACAAAAACTTGTACATGTCGTTACTCATACCTGAAATCTATATATTCTTCATCATCATCACAAGGTCGTCAGTCCTAAGACTGGTTGGACACGCACCTCCACTCTTTCCTATCCTGAGCTAATCTTCGCATTTCCCTAAAGCTAGAGCAAGCCACGTCCTCAACTATTTGCGAACAGTAATCTAATCTAGGTCTACCTCTGCACCTCCTAACATCTGTTTCTGCCTCTAATATGTCTCTGACTAGACCTTCATGCCTGAGAAGATGTCCTACTAACCTATCTCGCCTATTTCTTATTGACTTCCATGGAGTCCTCTGCTCTCCCACTCTTTATAATACCTCTCAATTTCTAAACTACAGGATTCCTTTTTAAGAAACAAAAACTATCAAATGTGACTTTAAAAACTAAATTAACCTATACTGCATTATATTTACTTTTGCTGCTTCCAAATGATAAATTCCTAGGTGATATATTGGCAAGTAAATCGTAATTGGTAATAGTTTAAAATGGGCAAATTACTATTTATCCACCCTGTATATAAACACGAAACAAACGGAAACTCTGCCAGACCAAAAATAGAACTCGTCAACCCGCCACCTACGGCGACAAATTCCTATCATGATTATCCATTATCAACGCATTAGTTGCAAATGGGCAGACAGACCGTCATGTATAACGCAAATTAAAAATTTACGTTAATTGCTTTAATTAACTATGCAGCGATTCTAAATCGAGCAGATACGACAATTTGATAGCTGTACACAACCTAATAACATAACAATAAAATATGTAAGTCCAAAAATAATTACTTACTGATTAATGAAAAATTATTAAGTAATTAAAATTAAAAAGGAATATCACAAAAGAAAGTACAAAAAGTATTTTATTTGCCACAAATGGTAAAAGCAACACTGAAAATATTTATATCGGAAGGTATTTCTTTGTTTGGACAAACACCGAAATCAAAATCAGCATCAAAAGTACAGAAGACTACGACTGAGACGAGTTTCAAATAATCAAAGATATAAAAAAACTAAAGGAAACATATAAGAGTAGTTTAAATGTAATGTCTAATTAAATTACAATCAAAAGCTTTTATCAGTACTCAAAGAACAGCTGTAGCTTCTCTAATGCTCAGTCAGCAATTGAATGATTTCAAACGCGACGAAACATGATTACATTGCAGCGGGCCCTATTTTGTCCCTTGCGTGGCGCCACAATCCCAACTTTATAAAACAACAGTTTTTAAAGCCATACTATGAAAATTCAATTTTGTTATCATCGGGTATAATTTTATAGAGTATTTACGTTAAAACTACAAGACTATTATTGTTTAAATACACCTGAGTGTATAATTATCAAATTAAATGAATTAATTCTTTCTCGCGCCTGGAATACTGGGCCATATCATTTATTTGGCTGAAACGCATTTCGTGTAGAGTTCTTTTTTGACTAATTTATATACCTTACACGATTGCGTGCTCGCACTTCCATGTCATCAGTTTCTTTTTCTATTTTCGCCAGTTCGGAGTACCTTCTTTGCCCCGTCCGTTCATTAATTTACCAGATCATGGCGCGATAAAACTAAACTCATCTAATTTCACCTTCATAGAAAAGAGACGGATAGAGGGTGATCCTTACAGCAATAATATAATCCGTAAAAAGCATGTCATTATGTGTATTGCTTATTAAGAACGATGACT